GGGTGACCAGGCCTGCAGATGAGGGCAGTTGAGGATGACCAGGCCAGTAGGGGAGGACCCAAGCCTGCAGGGGAGGGAAGTTGGGGGCGATCAGGCCTGCAGGGGGCCTAAACAGGAAGTTGGACATCCCTCGAGGCGTCCCCCAGATTGGAGAGGGACATTCCCCTCCCTTGTACACAAATTTCATGCACCGGGCCTCTAGTTAGTATATAAAATCTGAACTGGAAAGAAGTCAAGAGACTAGCAGTTAGGAGGGCATTGCAATTATCCAGTTAGTCAGTGGTTTTTAAATAAGGGCATATGGAAATGTGTGAGGATTATTAGAAATGGAACAGAATACTACTGGCACTTGAAAGCAAGATCCAGGGATGCTAAAAAATGCTACAATGCACCAGACAAAAATAATGAAGAAGTAGGCAGATGACCATAGGGAAAGGGGTGGGGAGGCAAGGGCTTGTGTAGAGATAGGTAGGGGGAGGGCAAGGGGAAAGAAGATGTCTGTAATAAACAATAAAAAATGTGGAAGGAAGGAAGGAAGGAAGGAAGGAAGGAAGGAAGGAAGGAAGGAAGGAAGGAAGGGACGGAGGGAGGGAGGGAGGGAGAGAGGGAGGGAGGAAGGGAGGGAGGGAAGGAGGGAGGGAAGGAGGAAGGGAAAGGAAGGAAGGAAGGGAAAGGAAGAGGCAATTTTTACCAGTGCCCTTTGAAAACTAATGCTATAGTTGAAATCAATATAAAGATCGTCTGATTGATGGTGGGTATTTCTTTCTTACTGAACCTGTATAGTCTTTGCCACCCTTCATCAAAACAAATCTTAAGGGAGATGGAGTCTAAATTTGTTACAGTTCACTGTGAAAGTCTTTCCCAAGGATCAGTAAGAATGTTTGGGGGAGAATAAGGAGACAAAAGAGCATTGTACCTTAAGCAAGTAAAGTAGAAGATATTTGAAAAGAAATTCAGGAGATGTATGTTAGTATAGTTTTTAAAAAGTTATCCTCTCCCCTCTAGTTAAAATTCAACATTAAACTTTAAGAGAAAGTCATTCTAAGCTTCAACCACATGATGTATCAATCTCATAGAATACACACAATAAAGCATTCACATATTAAACATTTTTTTAACGGACTTAGTATATTTTGAGCTCTGTAGATTTGTCTTTTTCCGGAAATAATATGGAAGGCAAACAACTACCTCTTACTGATCCAACATTTGTGTCTTCAATTTCAATGACAAATTACAAAGCCTTTCTGAAAATAACATGAAAAGTATTCAACTTACCTCTTCCTGATCCAACATTTGTGTCTTTAATTTCTCTACCAACTGGCTCTGCTGATTAATTTCCTCATCCTAGAATTTCAATATAACAAGTTGCTCACAAACTGGTTGTAATTGTTTCCTAACACAAAATTAAAATAACTATCACCCCTCCAAATTATTTCAAAACCATATTTTATTCCAATCACTTAAGAAAATGTAGAAACAGATATAATCCCTTTCAATAATCAATAATTGTAACACTTCTTTTGCAGTAAGAAAAGAAGCTGATAAACATATTTATCATGCAATAAGGAAAAAAACCTACCCATTAAATATTTTAAATGCAAAAAGTAATTAACATGTTCCAAGTTATTACTGAAAATAATGGCCATGCAGCCATATCAAAACTGCCATCTCTGCTTAAAATACATAAATATATCATCTAAGAACAAAAAGCAAAACTAGAACTATTTTCTTCTAGTCTCTTATTGCTCCTCACCCCCCATTCTTCTCTATTTGGTTCATAATTCATTATTTTTCACACTGCTGATATAATCAATATAGGAAGATATGTTCCACTATCTAATATTTTGCATTATCTTTATCTTCAGATCCCTTATTCTAAGAGGCCATTCTATTAAGTCTCTCCCATGATCCAATGCCAAATTTCCTTTAGAAAGTTATTTTAGCTTAAAAATGAGGAGATGGTAGTGGGAAAACAAGACTCATATAATTTCTGTATAGAAACAGATAGTGATTTTTTTTAATACAATGATCAAGAGGCTAACAGATATCAAGAGAGATGCATATAGTTATGAGGACCAATATACATTAAATTAGAAAATAAAAATACCTACAGTGATAATATTCTACAACAAAATAGAACATGAACAATACCTACCTTGTCATCAAGTTGTTTGTACAATTTAGCAATTTCTTCTTCACACTTTCTTCTTTCAGCATCAGTAAAGTTTCCAGTAACTCCAATTGTGGTTGCTGGTTTATCATTGGTAATAACAATATCTTTATCCACTGTGAAAGCTTCCAAGTTGGCTTTCTCTTTGTCAAACTGCTCATCAATAGGTACTGTCTCTCCTATAATAAGACAAGTTAGTTAATAAAACTCACCTTTCTAAAACTAATTTCAATTTTATTCAATTTTAACAGCTCCTAACCAGCGTTATTTGCTCTGTCCCTGAGATTTGAAAAGATGCAATTACCTTTATTTCTCCATCCTGTAATCCAGTCATCAAATCTTTATTCCTTTCACCCTAATCTAGGTACCTTGCCATCTTGTGACTTTTATAACTTCCAAGTTGGTCTTTGTGCCTCTATTTATTATTTCAGGTAAAATCAAAATTTAATGTAAAAACTTTATTCATATTTATTTGATGATCCCTAATGCCTAAAAAGTGAAAATGGATTATGCTTTGCTATTTTATTTATATTTATACCTAAATCTCAAATTTATAAAGTAGCTCTAAATCTTTATCCAACAACTAAAAATGACAACTTCCTTAAGTTATTACCATTTCGCCATCGGTTGAGTTCATTTTCAAGCCACTGAATGGTGTTACGGAGGGTCTTATTTTTTTCTTTTTCTCTTTCATACTTCTTTTTCCACTGTTCTGCAGTTAATTCTACATTGACACAAACTGTATTCTTAATTGTTTTGGCCCTAAGAAAAGTAATTGGGGGGAAAAAGAATGTGACTGAAATTATTTTCAATTGACATCTAATTTCTCCATGTAATGTATGTATATATCGCTAAGTAACTTAACTTTTCTTGTACAGTTAACTATTCTTGGAGCTATAATTAGTATAGTACTTACTCACACCCCAACTATATTCGGGTCAGCCCTAACATCTGTGAATAGCTTAAAAAGAAAAATCAGCAACCTGATGAGGATAAAACACAAGGGCCTATATTTTCCAATTTATTTGCAAGGTTGAATTAAGAAAGGAAATTGCTGAAATTTAAAGATAAAGCCATCATTATCTTCTTAGGCTAACTATATTATACAGGTTATTTGAATCCTGTCACTTATACCAACAGGTTTAGCATAGGATTATATATATATCAGCTTTGTACTCTATTGCATGATTCAAATGTTTATTTTCTTTTATGCTGAGTTGCAACATCTTACATAAATTTGACTACATTTAACATTTTACTTTAATGTGTGCTAAAACTTAATTCAAATCCAAGCAGTCTAAAAAATGGACCTGTACTCATATGAACAATATCTATCAACATTTTCCTAGATTTAATCAATAAAAGGCATATGTATGTTCAGACTTTGTAAATGCTTAACAACAAACCTTTGGCCAAAAAGGAGTGTCGATTTTGTTTCAGATTCATTGTATGATGATGGAGAGCAGCAAATTACAATAGTGGTTCTACAGTTCCCACCTAATGAATCTTGAAGGATTCTTGTCATTTTACTATCTCGATATGGGACATAAGTCTACATATAGAAACAAAATATCAATGGGTTTCTACATAATAAATCTATTACATAAATATGCTATTTAAAAAAAAAACTACAAAGTTACTTCAGTTATCCTATATAATAAAAGAGTAATATGCAAATAGACCAAACAACCAGTTGCTATGACATGCACTGACCACCAAGGGGGAGGGGGAGCCATGTGTAGAACATGGCATGTATCAGCCTCAGCGGGATGGTGGAGCAGGTGAGTAGGGGCAACAGACCAAGGCAAGGCGTTGGTCGCTGTCATCAAAGTGAGCTTTAGGTAGTTACTGAAAATTCTTTGCTCCCACCCATAGCAGCCCTGCCCAGCATTTGCACCTGCTGCTGGTGCTGGCCCCACTCGCACTTGCTGCCATCACAGGAGCTGCCAGCGCAGGAGCAGCCGCTCGCACCTACTCCTGGCCCTGATCATTCAGCACTGCCAGCAGGTGTGAACGGTGGCTGCCAGCACCAATCTCCCCTCAGGGCTTCTGCACCCCCCCCTGCTCCTGAGGGGAGATCAGGGCTGGTAGCCGCTGCTCACACTTGCTGACGGTGATGGCCCCACTTGCATCTGGTGCCATGGCCAGTCATGATCGCTCAGCGCTTTCAGTGGTATGAGTGGTGGCTGCTGGCCCTGATCACCCTTGAGGGCTTCTCCACCTCCCTGTTCCTGAGGGGTGATCGTGGCAGCAACTGCCGTTCACACTCGCTGCCAGTGCTGGCCCCACTCACACCTGATACTGGTGCTGGCCCCAATTGCTCCATGCCTTCAGTGGGTGTGAGCTGGGCTGACGCCATCAGCATGTAGCAGTGGCAGTGGTGGGAGTGGGGCTGCTGGCAGACAGGAGACCATGGGGGAGAGGGGTGTGGAGAATGGGCCGAGACCCACACCTGTGGCTACTGCAGCCTCACAGCCCACAGTTCCTTTCAAGGTGTACGAATTCATGCACTGGGCCCCTAGTCTGTTTAATATTAAGATGAGAATGAGGATATGCATACTAATACTATAAAATAAATTTCTAAGAGAGAACGAATTCACACAAAGATTCAAATACAATGAATCATACCCACACCCACAATCTTAAGTAATTCAGTAATTCCCCATAAGAACAGGGAAATAGAGGACATACTTACACTACCCTCAGCCAAAGCAGAAATAACATTTCCAAGAGCAGAAAGTGACTTGTTGATGTTCTTAGCTTCATCTAGCACAGCACCTTCAGCTCCAGTTTTACTAACCTATCCATAAGATTAAAAAAAAAAAATTACAAATTTAAAATGAATTTTTAAATTTTCTAAAAAGTTCAGAAGTCATCAATAATCAGCAAAACAGAAAGAAAAGTAAAGCTTTATGACATTATTTGCCTAGTGTTTACTCTCAGGTATCACTATTTCTCAAATATAATTCTTTTGAGAACTTGGTTAAATAACTATCTGCATAACAGAACATAATTAAAAGAGACAACAAATTTTATTTTTAGTTTTCGTTCTTCAAAATAACCAATTTACATGTGTATTTAAATTTTACTAAATTGTTAGTATACTTTGCTACATCAGAAAAGAGGAACCTTTTGCCGAAACCAGTTTGGCTCAGTGGTAGAGCATCAGTCTGTGGACTGAAAGGTCCCAGGTTCGATTCCGGTCAGGGGCATGTACGTTGGTTGCGGGCACATCCCCGGTGGGGGGTGTGCAGTAGGCAGCTGGTTGATGTTTCTCTCTCATCGACATTTCTAGCTCTCTACCTCTCTCCCTTCCTCTCTGTAAAAAAAAATCAATAAAATATATTAAAAAAAAAAAAAGAAAGAAAAGAGGAACCTTTTAAAATTTGCTAGAGCATAATGTTGTTGATGAAATTGTTAGAAAACTAAGATTGAATTTAAATATATAAGCAAACTTGCTTCTTTTAAAAAAAAATGTAAAATACATATATTAAGTACAGGATAGAATAATATGTTGCAATGTTGGTGGAAGAAATGGCCTCCTAGAATCTGCAAAATAGAGACAGGCTTAAAAGGATGGATGTAAGACTTTTGAGTAGTAGCAAATAGGTACATTCTATTTAGAAGAAACGAAATTAGTAAAATAGCAAAAATGGTCATAGAGGTCAATATTAAGACATTTGCACTTATTTTGAAATAAACTAAAATAAGACTATTTAGGACTGTAAAAATGAAATGAAATAGTTGCTCAGTGGTTAGAGCATCGGCCTGCAGTCCAAAGGACTGTGGGTTTGATTCCTGGTCAGGGTGCAAGTAGGAGGCAACAAATTAATGTGTCTCACATGTCAGTATTTCTCTCTCCCCCCTCTCTCATCCCTCCCTTCTCCCTTCTACTCTCTCTAAAAACCAATGGAAAAAAATGTCTTCACTCCTGGATGAGAATTAAAAAAAAAGAAATAGTCATCCAAAGAAAAGAAATAAGTACACCCAAAGTAGAAAGGACTAAAGGATAGTTACCAGTTTTCACAAGGAGCCCTTTGCCAATAGGGATAAAAAGATACAAAAAATTAGGATACCTAAAAGAATTCATAATGACATAAGCTAAAGAAATCCTTAATAAAAACATTCATCTTAAGTCAAAGGTAACACCTATTTGTTGAACTGGACTAAGTCCAAATAACAGTGATTTGAACTGATTATTTAGTTTATGTAAGCATAAAGTATTGACATGGATGCTTGCAGCTCTCAAAAATGCTTAGATATGTAAAAAGATTTACCTTTTCACTACCTGCTAAATCAACCAGATAAAGTTTTCCACTCAGCTTTTGCTCCGTTTGCGTATTCTCTTGTTTTACATTAATAAGAAATATACTGTGACTTCTAGAGCTATGTTCATTCATATCTGCAATGAAATTACACAACTATAAATAAACATGGCTTTCCTTTACTAATTTCTAAAAATCTCACAAGTAATCAGCTTGATAAAGGTAACTTAAGGCAGTTTTGTACCTTAACTAGTGTCAGTAAGTATTTGACTTACTTGTAACTGCTACATGTCTGTTGGATTTTCCTTCATCTATGGTATCCATAACTTCATCTGGACTACATACAAAACGCTCTGTGCAACCCTATAAAATAATTTTAAGTATGTTGATATCCTTATAAATTATTTCAGTGCTTCCCTAAATAATCATTCTATATTATCTTATTAGTACCTTTACATAAGGAACTCGGTTTTTATCTTCATGAACTGAAAGGTTGGTCTTTGAAACTAAAAAAGAAAAAGAAATAATATTAGCAATACTTTCCTAAACTTTAACACTGGCTATGAAATTCAGTTGTTTGCTTCCCAAATCAGCCTGATAATAATAGGTAAACTTTAAAAATATGAAAAGGTCACTATTAAAATAAGAACCTATTGAAATAATAAGAGATTTATATAGAATACAATGCAGCAATATAGAATTTTAGGTCCAGTCCAACCTCTACCTACCACCCACATTTTGGAAATGAAAACATTAAGCCAGAGTGGTTCAATGGTTTGCCCCAAAACACACACACACACACACACACACACACACACACACACACACACACTCTCTCTCTCTCTCTCTCTCTCTCTCTCTCTATATATATATATATATATAGTAATATTTTAATATATATATGAAACCCTATTATGCAAATAGACCGAACAGCGGAACAACCAAACAACTGGTCATTATGATATGCCATGACCACCAGGGGTGCATGTGGAACATGGCAGGTGTAGTTGGCCACGGCGGACAGTGGAGCAGGGAAGTGAGGGCACCAGACCAAGGTGGGGCACCTGTTGCTGTCATTGGGGTTACAGAAAATTCTTTGCTCCTGTGCACTGTGGTCCTGCCCAGCGCTCACACCTGCTGCCAACACCAGCCCTGCTTGTACCTGCTTGCTGACGCCAGCCCTGCTCACTCAGCACTATCAGCGGGTACAAGCAGTGGCTGCTAGCTCTGATCACTCTACCTCCCCCTGCTCCTGTGGGGTGATTAAGGCAGCAGCCACTGCTTGTACCCGCTGCTGGTGCCAGCCCCAATAGCTCCAAACCGTCAGTATGTGCGAGTGGGGCCAGTATCATCAGTGCATGAGAGCTGTGGTGGCAGAAGTGGGACTGCTGGCAGACAGGGGACCAGGGCCACGTGGGAGGGGCTGGGCAGGGTCACAGAGATGGGCCAAGACCCATCCCTGTGCCCACCGCAGCTTCAAGAACCACAGTTCCTTTCAACATGCACAAATTTGTGCACTAGGGCCTTAGTCTATAATAATAAAAGTTTAATATGCTAATTTGTCCTTCCAGATGACTTTCTGGACAAAGCTGGGGCTGAGAGGGGAAGCTCAGGTCCCAGGTGCCAGAGGGAAGCTGGTGCCAGCAGCTGGGGGTAGGAAGGCCTACTGTTGTAGGAATTTCATGCATCCCATCTCTAGCCCTATATAATAAAAGCCAAATATGCAAATTGTCCCCTCTACCAGGAGTTCGAGCGCTCGCTATGATGTGCGCTGACCACCGGGGTGGGGGTGGGGGTGTGGAGGAAATGGAACATGTTGGTGACGTGGTGCTGGCAGTGGGCAGCAATGGAGGTGCTGGCCCCGATGAGAGTGGGACTGCAACAAGATGGTGTGTAGCAGGTAAGGGGGTGGAGCCAGGCCAAAGTGGATGCAAGCAGGACCCAATCATCTTGCTGATGGCTCCCAGGCGTTAAGGGAGCCGTGAGGGGGGGTGCAGGAGCTTGGGAGCCCAGAGGTCAGGTGGGACCTGTCTTTCCACTCCAGAGGCTTGCACTTCGATTGTCAGCCAGGCCTAGGGACCGCACCCGTGCAAGAATTTCAAGCACTGGGCCTCTAGTGTATCTAACTAATTGACAGCTGATGGAAAACCAGAACTTGGGATCTCTAACTCAAGTTCAGTGCTGTAATTAATAATTAAGAAGCATCAATAAATAGCTGCTTTAAATAAGTTACTCCCTTGTGTCAAATGACATTTAGTTAAAACTTAAAAAAAAAAAAATTAAATGTCTGTTTCCTATAACTTAAGTTAATTTTATATAGGTAACTAAAAAAATGTTCTCACATCTACTATTAAAAAAAAAAAAAAAAAAAAAAAAAAAAAGCCCTGGTTGATGTTTCTTAGACACTGAAGGGTCTTGGGTCTGATCCCCAGTCAAGAGCACTTACCTTGATTGCAGGTTTGATTCCTGGCCCCAGTCTGGGCAAGTGCATGAGGCAACCAATCAATGAGTCTCCCTCACATTAATATTTCTGCTTCCCCCCTCCCCACTTTTTCTAAAAATCAATAGAAAAAATATCCTCAGGTAAAGATTAACAAACCAAACCAACAAATAAAAAGAACATATGCTATTTTAAAAATAATTAAAGGGCAAGAAGGTAACTTACCATCTAATAGGTCCCTTATCTTATCCAAATAAATTTCGAAATATGAAACCTAAAAGGCAAATAAATAAAGGAAAGAAGATCAACCAATTAAAGTTATAAAATAATTTATTCACTTATTATTAAATATTTATTGAAGAGTGAGTGCCAGACATCATCTAGACTAAGGGGACAGAGTTATCAATAACAACTCAGCCATAGCTCATATTCTAATCAGAAGACCTAATTTTACTAACCTGCTTATATAATAAAAAAGCAATTTCCATTATATATCTTCATCTAATAAGAACTAAATTATATAAGAACCTTTAAGTTCCACAGTAAAACAAATTCCTTTATTTTACAGAGAAGGAAAATAAGGCAAACGAGACTTGGCTAACTTATTTAAGGTTATCTAATGACAGATGAATTATCTATATCTGTCCAAAAATAATTCTCAAATACTTTAAAATGTTTTAAAAAGAAAATTAGCGTTTATTACTTTTTAGAACAGTATTATCCTAGGTATAAAATAAAATACAACCTTTCCCCAAGGATTTTACCTTAATATGAAATTCCAAATTTTCATCCATGGAATAAATATAATTAAAAATATCTTGCACTATTCTTGGTATAATTCCCATGCCTTCTGGATCATGAAGTTTTCCCTAAACAGAAAACAAGACTAGACTTCTTAAATAAACTGTAAATTATGAATTAAAATTCAAAATTTCAATGTATAATTATAGTCAATAGAGAATAGGAATTGTAATTGTCGTTTTTAGGTGAAGATGGCACTACAAGTATCTAAAAAAACCAATTCAACAATTTACATATTTTTGTAAGTTACATATAAATATTGTATATAAACACATATACAAACTTAGGTAAGTTACATATAGAACTGTATAATCACAGGGGTTACCCATTAATCTTAGCCTTTTATTTAACCCTTAGATTTAGGTTATCCACATTTGTAAATGATCATCTTCTACGAAAAGTTTCTAGCTTCTTTATATATTTGCACTGTTCCTTCTACTTCAAGTCAAATTCTTGGATATGCTGAATGTCCTTGTTCTCATACTTTATGAAAATGAGTTATCAGAATCGAATAAGCTGTCACTTTATATAGTAAGCTCAGATAAATGATAAAAGCAGATGCTCTGTAGCAGCGGCAAAGCTCTGCAACAGTGGTAAAAGTCTTCTAGAAGCAAAGCTCAAACATGTCTATATCTACTAATAGCAATGATAATTATAGAAACGTTCTTATCAGAAAAGAATAGCAGGAATAGGAGAAAAGAAATTAAATTATCTGAATAGAATTGAAAACACACAAACATTCAAATTTTTCCATTATAAAGTAACGGAAAATTCCTGTTTAATTCTAAAATGTTCATAACTTCACGGTTATAATAATTGATAAAAGAAAGCTAGATATTTAAAATATATGACATCATTATTCAAACTCAAGAAAGAACCAGATTCTATCAATGAAGTTATTCATGTATTACCATGTGAGAGAAAGCAAAGAATAAATAAACTGTTTAAAGCATGGCTAAGTTATTTCACAAATAATGACTGAATGTACTGTCTGTACTGCAAACTATATCCAAGTACACACTACAAAATGTTACCTCCATTGTGTGTGTCTTCCCAGAGGATGTCTGTCCATATGCAAATATTGTTCCGTTGTATCCCTCAAGTACATCTATAAGATAGTAAGAAAGTTCATACTTTAGGGAATTCTTTTCTTCAAGTAAAATGCTTAAAGAAATTACTTAATGTGCCGAAACCGGTTTGGCTCAGTGGATAGAGCTTCAGCCTACGGATTCAAGGGTCCTGGGTTCGATTCCGGTCAAGGGCATATACCTTGGTTGCAGGAACACACCCATTTGGAGTGTGCAGGAGGCAGTTGATGATGTTACTCTCTCATCGATGTTTCTAACTTTCTATCCCTCTCCCTTCCTCTCTGTAAAAAAATCAATAAAATAAAAAAATAAAAAAAATAAAAAGAAATTACTTAATGTTAGAAAATATTCTTAAAAAAAAAAAAAAAGCACACATACATTAACTCTATTCCTCATCCATGCATAATAAACTATTCGTGGGAAGAATGGTAAGGAAGATTTCAGATTTCTTTTGTTAATATCAAAGTTTAATACATAAAAGATTTATAAAAACATTAAAGAAAATAAATAATATATTTAATAGTAACATTTTTAGTGACAACCAATCCAAGCAATTACTTTCTCTCCATCCCAGATTACTTTCTGTGGTTAACAAGAAACAAATTTTATATTCTGTTGCTTAAAATCATTTATGTCAGTGTTGTACATCTCAAATGTAGGAAATGAGTCTT